ACGAATTTTTATACATATATTGTTCGAATTTTTACTCTGTAATTTCGCGAGTATTAAGACTTAAATAAAAGACTTTTTTATGAAGAACCCTCGCAAAGCGCTTTAATGAGCATTTGGCAATTGATCAATTTGAAAGTCGTGAATAATTTTGAGTTATCGCAATTGATAAACAATTTGTTGTTATCGGCGCGAAATGAATTGCAATTGTTGATACTTTGATTAAGTTGGTTGTGCAGCAGCTGAGCTGGCAGCATGCGGCATGTGGCATGCCACACGCGATTCCCACTGATTGCTGCTAAAGAGTAGATGCTGCTGCTGCTGTTGCGGTAACTGACCATGTCAGGGCGTTATTTGACTTGATTAGAAGGCGGCGACAGCAAGTGGCATGCCACACAGAACGCACACAGAAGACGGCGTGGAAATGGAAAACCTGTCGCAAGTTCAGTCAACTGTGCGGAGCGACATTCACATTTGGCCAAGATCCGATCCGATTCGATCCGATCCGTTCAGATCCGAACGGATCCGATATCAATGACAATGTTGTCGAGAGAGCATTAGCTACCGTTAGTTCGGCGCTCCACAAAGCGAATTCCGATCTCGATTCTCGATTGTGGATAATTATAGAGAATTAATGTTTGATTCGCGGCGAATTCATTAAATTTCCATTGAAAATGCCAACGCGATGCCCCTAAATGGCGCGAATGCTTGACCAGCCAAAGGGGAGGGCTCGTCGGCGAAGAGGGGGGAGATGGTAAGAGAGAGATGTGGGGGGGGGGGGGGGGGGGGCTGATTTCTACTTTTAACAATGCTTTGGCCTTAACATTTGGCCAAGTGTTCATAACTAACTTGAACAATGGCTGACAATTGTAATAGGAGCCTTCTGTTTGGCCGCTTGTCGCTCCAGTGTTGAGTAATGTGCATTGAGTGTGCGCCAGTGCCAGTGTTGGGCTTTGTGCTTTGTGTGTGTGTCATAAATTTGGTAAAATTCTATTTAACGGCCATTTGGCAATTGTTATTGTTGCATTACATTAGTTTATTGTTACAAATGTGTTTTTGCAATTAAAAAAAAGAGTAATTCAATTTCCCATTTTACTTATTACTTTTTCGTATACCCTACGTTTGGGTGGGGGCTATTAGGTTTCGTAAGGCAATACGACGTGATGTCATTGCTTTTATTCTCGGTGCAAATCAAACTAAATAGTTTACGAATTGCTAATTTCTGTGAAATTTGAACCAGCGACTTTTCGTTAGTTTTTCAAATACTCTACTTGTGCCCTACTAATAGGGTTTTCCTACAAATTTATGCACTATAATTGTCTTTTCTGTGTGAATAAAAGCTAAATAGATTCAATTTGAACAATTCTGCATCATTTGAACCAGCGACTTTCCGCATGCTGGTTCAACTCCCAGCTAAAAGATAGCTTAGTAAATTGGTGCAGAGTATTTAAACTTGCCCAAACATGCTTTTTCATATGAATCAATAAAAGTTAAATCGATTCAAATTGAACAATTCTGCATCATTTGAACCAGCGACTTTCCGCATGCTGGTTCAACTCCCAGCTAAAAGAGAGCTTAGTAAATTAGTGCAGAGTATTTAAACTTGCCCAAACACGCTCTTTCATATGAATCACAGTTTGAATTGAATTTCTAGAGCGCAAAAAAAATATGTTGGGGTCGAGCGGTTCACAGAGTCAAGTGTTTAACTCGAGGGAGTTTTCCTTTCGCCCACTCGCTGGAATTGTGACCGCGTGTCCATTTAACATAATTGCGCAATTATTTAAAAACTGATTTATTATTTAATTGTTTGTCACTTGAATGACAACAATTAATTATGCGATTCGCATAAAAAAATGTAAAAAACGGAGCAAAAAAAAAGGAGAAATAAATAATTTGCATTATAATCAGTGCAACAGCTGCAAGGCGGGCTCAATCATAATATTAATAATAATAATTATATAAATAATAATAACAATTATGAAAAGCGAAACGGTTTTGGCAGCAACAACAAACGGAACCGACAAATGGCAAATGCTTAACGCAGCGATTTAAATTTATTGCGCTTTTTCGCATTTATTCGATTTATTTCCTTTGCCTTTGCACTTTTTGTATTATTTTATTTATCATTTGCCACTTAATGTCAAAACTATTAAAAGCTGCTGCGGCTTCATAAATTGACCTGGCGATTAATTAAGTAAATCCGATCTGAGCTGCTGCAAAAATCCAGTCGGAACTGTCTCAAACTTCGTTCTGGCATGCAATCGATAATAAATTATGATCAACAAAAAAACAACAATAATTATCAAGGCAGTTGAAAGAAAAGTGTGCTCAAAGCTCGACTAGAGATACCCTGTTAGAAGCAGAGCAAACGCAGCTGACATAATATTTTCTTTCAATCAAATATTTGGAATATTAGCTTTAATCTGTCGGCTATAGTTCGATGTTTATGATATTTTGAGGTCTTCAAGTGGGCATTCATTGTACTCAAAGTCAAATCAAGAAGTCAATCGATATTTATCGATTTCGGCACAGCTGTGCGACTTATCGAGAATTCGATTAATATCACGTGATCAGCTCTCAAATATTTCGATAAGACTGCGTGAGTTTTTGATAATTCGATTGTAAGAACTTGACAAGATCTCACTTATCGATATGACTTATCGATAATTCGATTAATATGAATTGATCAGCTCTCAAATATCATTATTTAGCGAATTAGTAGGAACTTGATCAGCTCTCACTTGTCGATATGTATCGAATTTATTAACAGCTGTGCCACTTGTCGATATTTTGATTATAAACACTTGATCAGCTCTTACTTAGCGATATGTATCGATTTCAGTTAAACTGTGCAACTTGATTTAAGCACTTGATCAGCTTTCAAACATCGTAATAACTCGATACAACTGTACGACTTATCGATACTTTTATTATGAAAACTTGATCAGCTCTCACTTATCGATATGTTTCTAATTCAGTAAACCTGTGTAACTTATCGAAAAGTCGATTATTATACTCTAACAACGATATTTAGCGATTTCGGTAGAACGTTGCGACTTATCGATAATTCGAATATAAAGACTTAATCAGCTCTCTAATGGTATTTATCGATTAGGGGATATCGATATTTATCGATTTTGGTAAAACTGTGCGACTTATTGATATTGGATTATAAAAACTTGAACAGCTCACCTTGATCAAAGACACACATACATTTTATGAGCTCGAAGACTTCTCCTACTACCATTTCGATACTTTTACAACACTGTCAAATAAATTGAAGGCAAATCAATAGCGAAATTTGTGCCCAAAAATTCTTATTAATTCCCTTTAAATCGGTTTGCATTGAGCAAAAGTTTTTCTCTCTCATGATTTTCATTAAATGCATTCTGCTCGTTCGTCCATCAGCTTATTTAAAAATTAAAGAAAAGAAACCGTGTATTTTATTTTTTTCTCGTAATGCTCGCATTCAAAGTTCCATAAATAATTATGGGGCCTTTCATTTGGGTGCGACGAACGCAACGCAACTTTAAATACGAATATTACGAGAATTTATTCAACACATTCGTAATTAATCGGGAATCGCTTTTGTTAACAGCGTGTTATAAAAATTCAAGCAACATGTGAAGACGTCTTTGGTCTGAGGCCTCGATTGTGTTTGGTATTGTGTTTGGCTTATAGGAAAAGTGCCGTTAACTGGGGCCGCTTCTTTTGCGACACATGTTGCATAAGTTATGAGCCGTATACCCTGTAAAGGTACACACTGTAGACGCAGTAGATGCGAAAAGAACGCGAGATGTTCAAGAATTCCACAAATTTTCCACGCCTGCGCGCGAAATTGTCAGGTTTTTCACTTGTAGAACAAAACCTAAAGTTCCGATTGCTAGTTATCATCAAACTACAGGGTATTTGATAGTCTATAAATCATAAATATGTTTGATTTGCATTCCTCAAGCGCAATTGATTAGGCTCGCGCAGCACATAACGAGAATCTAGCCGGGTATGGAATCCGATACCCTAAAACGATGATAACTCAAAACCTGTTTAAAGGGGGCGAACGTTAGGGGGAGGGGGGAGGGGGGGCATTTAATAATAGCAAAACAACTTTATTAAGATTTGTAATTTGCATATGAATTTGATTTGTCGACACATTTGCCCAGCGATTCGCTAATTAAACAAAGCGGAGCCAACAAAATAGATGAAATTTTCTTTAATCACACGGAAAAGTAAAGTCCCCCCCTCACCCACCCCACCCTACACTTCCCCTGCCCCTGCTCCATTGACAGCTCAGCGATTCGGAATGTGCATAAATTTGAACGCTTTTAAACACTGGTCGTAGCCACCTTCAATTGTTAATACACAAAACGTGTAATGTCAAGGGAGTGCCAGAGGCGGGGGCGTGGCAATTGTTGTTCCCCAACTGAGCTGCTGGGCAATTGTAATGAGCCGTTTTTCTTTCGTGTTTTGTTGTATTTTTAATGAGCCTCTATTAAAATTACTCATCACTGGCCACAAATATCGATTGTTGGTTCCCCATTTGTTGTTCTTCTTCTTAATCAATTGAAAATTGCGGCCGCAGTCGCTGCTAATGAGGCGCATTAAATTGTTGCTGTAAATGAACACCACAAAATGTTGCTTGGCAGGCTTCAGGGCACACTTTGTGGCAGGCCTAATCTAATTAGTTAAGCCGCACTAAGCAAAATGCTTTTAGCTACCGTTTGTTACACACATACATACACGCACAAACATATCTGGATATATGTGTGTATATATATTTTAATTAGATTTTCGGTAATTTTCAAAAAATTAACGTGCGCCTCGACAGGCCTGTTGATCGTTATTTGACGCCGACAGTTAGATGGCGCCAGCAGTTGTTTATGTAGCGCAACACTGTTTGCTGGCACATTTTACAGCACTTGACGGCGTAGCCTAGCCTGTTGACTCTGTCGCGCGCACAGCTAGCTGCACTGCTCTAACGCATAAGCTAACCAACACTCGACACAGCGCAACACTTCATTCTACGAAGTTGACTCACACTGCGCGTATGACTTGGCCAGCTGAGCTGCGGCGCTTCTACAGAAAACTGAAATACAAATAAAAAGAGAAACGGAAAATCGAAGAGATTTCACTTTGTTTTCAATATCAATCGAGTGCCTAAAAAATTGTTGTTGTTGTTGTTGTATATGTGCGTGCGCGAGTGAGTTTCATATTTTTTTTAGGGGCTGCGCGAGACGTTCGGGGTCGTCATGCGGCTGCCGCAGTCGCTGCTACGCGAAACATAAAAGAAATTTGCTGTTTGCCGCTGCGCCGACGTCATCAGACACACACACAGAGAGAGAGAGACGCACACACTCACACAGACACTGCCAGACAGTCAGTCATTGAAATTGTTGTTGGATTTTTGTAAATTATGAAAGCAATTTATCAACTGGAAATCTAACAGCAAACAGCGAAGCTGCAGCAAGAACAACGCCAACTACAACAAAACGAAACGGCGAAGAAGAAGCAATAACAGAAAACAGAACAGAAAACAAAAAGAACGCTCTCCTCACTGATCGCGCAGAGGCACAAGAGCTAAAAGCAGCGCAGCAGCAGAGCTGCATTTGTGTGTGTGCGTGAATTAAAAGAGAGAAGCAGAATCAAAGAATTCGCAGCGCTCAGCAGACGAGCTGGAGCGCTAGACGAGACCACTCACTACCAACACAAGCGCAGCAACAGCGACTTGTTGCTCACTCACACACACACTCGTACACAGGCACGCTTTATACGAAAACGTTGTGTTGTTGTGTGCGTGCGTTTGACCTTTGGCGGCGGCGTTTCCCCCAGAGCATTTTTGTGTGTAAGTACGCTAATAAATTTATTCAAATGGCAAGAAAAAAAAAACTGAAAGGCAACGCGTTTAATTGCAAGCTCAAAAATTGTATGTGTGTGTATGTGAGTTGTGTAAAACAAAGCAACAACAAATACAGCAAAACAATTGTAATGTAATATTTTCCATGACTGTTAAGCGCAACTGTTAAGCGTCAAAGTCTGTTAACTGTGCGCTCTGTTAACTATTACTTAACCTGTTTTGCAATAATTTACGATTTTATTTAATAGACTTTTTGTGACGTTCCCATTCGGCTTTTTCTGATAAGATAAATGACAGCCGCTGCTTAAATTAACGCCCACAACATATATATATATATATATATATATGCATACATATATTCATTCAGCAAAAATGATATATATAATACGGAAAAAACTTTCCGTTATGTTTTTTTTGTTGAATGCCAAATATACATAATTGTTGAGCGTGTGTGACAAAAGTACAAAAATAAATAAACGTAAAAGTTTATTTTTGTGCATATTTGCTTTCCATTTCAAAATCAAAATATATATATTTAAATGTTTTTTTTTTAGCCGCAGACAATTGTCTAAATGGCTTTTTGCTATCATTTCAATTGAATTGTGTATTGCAAACATTTCCATCAAATTCCAATGGCAAATGCCAGTGCGAATTACAGTTTGAATTGCACTGCGCGCTTAGCTGTTAACCGTAACAGAGCCACACAGTCGCGCACACAGTTTTACAAGCACTGCACTCATCATATTTGCTGTGTGCGTGCGATAAAATTGTTTGCAATTGTTTTCGTTGTTGTTGTTGTTGTTGTTGCTTTTGCACATTGTGTAAACAAAGATAAGGAACGTATTAGGTGTTGGGCGTGGCAGGGATAAGCCGGGGATGGGGGAGGGGGGCGAGCCAGCTGCCGCTGAGTAAGTCAAGTGGGAAACAAAATCCCAAGAAATAAAAGAAGAGAATCGAGCAAAACAGAGTAGAAAATCGAATGCAGCTTTGTGCGTTCAACTGCAGCGTATTTTATTTATTAATTTCAATGTATGTACAGTGCACGCACGCTATGACGAATGCAGCTGCTTTATAAATAAATAAAAATAAATGCAATTGAAAAGCATTTGTAGTCAAGGGGAAATTATTGAAACAAAAAAAATATATATATATAAAAAATAGAATTTATATAAATTTTATATATATTATTATTTTTCGACAAAATATATTTTGGCAAAAAAAAAAAAAAATGTTATTTATATAAAAAATCAATTATAAAAATTCAACTTAATTTGGGGAAAAAAATTCATAAAATATTTAAAATAAATTTAATTTGTAAAATTAAAATAAAATATATTTCAATAAAATATATTTTGAAAAATTCTAAAAAAATACATAAAAAATTTAAAACAAATTTCATTTTCCTAAAACATACTAAAAAAAGTTAATAAAAAAAAAAAAATAAAAAATGAATGCAGTTTATATGAAATATAAAATGTGGAAAATAAATTAAATTTGCCTCAAAAAAATAATAAATTGTTTTTCAATAAAATATAATTTGCAAAAATTAATGCAATTTATTTTTTAAGAAAAACAACAAAAATAACTAAAAAAAATTAAAAATATATAGGCTTTGCAGAAAGTTAGAAAAAAGCGTAAATAACTTGATTAAAATATTGCGAGATAATTGTTGCGCATTCGTTCGACCCGGAGTTGCTTGCAGCGAGTGCGCACTGTACTTGGGTTTTTATTGTGCAATTGCAAACGTGACACATATATTTTTTTAGCCCACATCCGAGCTTAATCATCCACACACACGCGCGCGCACACACACACACACACACACGCGACAGTTGAGCTGCACAGTTGGGAGCGCATTGCCTTTTACAGTTTGAGAGTCATTGCCATTGGCCACATTTGTAGCTTGCCGCCACTCTAATCAAAATATAATTTACCACAGCAAAATGGAGACACACATCCAGCTGGAGCTGCAGCCCCTCGACAAGCAGCACACCAGCAGCAAGGATCAAGCCGATCACACGGAGGAGCAACTGGAGCAGCTGCAGCCGCTCCTCCTGACCCCCAACAACAACAACAACAACAACAACAGCAGCAACAGTCCGGCTCAGCGTTTGCCGTCGAGCAGCTCGGGCAATTCAATTCATGAACAGGTGCAGCAGCAGGTGCTGCCCGCATTGCCGCCCAGCACGCCGACCATGCCCCACCAGACGCCGCTGGCCGGCACCTCGCGGCAACTGTTCAAGGAGGCGGCAGCGGCGCACGGAGGGCTGGACTCGCTGGCCTTGGTGCAGCAGGAGCAGAACTATATTGCGGCCACACAGCTGCCCAAGGTGTATAGCGATGGCTCGATGGCACCGGATGCGAGTGTTTCCAGGAATCCCTCGACTACCGGCGGCCGGCACGAGAAGAAGATCGGGCATCGGCGGGTCGCCGAGGGCGGCGAGGTCACCTACAAGAAGATCCAGTCGAAACAGATAATGGGCTCCATACAGCTGGGCATACAGCATACGGTCGGCAGCCTGGCCAATAAGCCGAAGCGGGATCTGTTGATGAACGATTTCTGGGAAATGGAAACGATTGCCTTTCCGCCGGATGGCTCCTCCCTGACGCCGGCGCATCACTACAGCGACTTCCGGTTCAAGGTTTATGCACCGATAGCTTTTCGTTATTTCCGCGATTTGTTTCACATCGAACCGGATGACTTTCTCATGTCGATGTGTGCGTCCCCGATGCGCGAGCTGTCCAATCCGGGCGCCTCGGGCTCCATATTCTATCTGACCGACGACGACGAGTTCATCATCAAGACGGTGCAGAAGAAAGAGTGCGAATTCCTGCAGAAACTGCTGCCCGGCTACTATATGAATCTCTCCCAGAATCCGCGCACTTTGCTGCCCAAGTTCTTTGGCCTTTACTGCTTCCACTACAACTCGAAGAATGTGCGTCTGGTGGCGATGAACAATCTGCTGCCGTCGGACATTAAGATGCACGCCAAATACGATCTGAAGGGTTCAACGTTTAGGCGCAAGGCCTCCAAGGCGGAGCGCCAGAAGGCGAGTCCCACCTTCAAGGATCTCGACTTTGCCGAGCATCATCCGAATGGCATTTTCCTGGAGGCGGACACCTATACGGCGCTGATGAACACCATCAAGCGGGATTGCATGGTGCTCGAGAGTTTCCAGATCATGGACTATTCCCTGCTGGTGGGCATACACAATCTGGACATTGCCGCCAAGGAGAAGCGCGAGGAGCGCATCCGTAACGCGCGCGCCAAGCTGCAGCGACGCGAGGGCGGCAGCGGAGCCGGCAATGTGGCACCTCTCGCCACGGACGATGATGCGCCCGAGGCGGATCAGGTGAATCAGCTGCAGCCGGTCTCCTCTTACGCTTCCATACCGGGCACCTCGGCGGCGGGACTGAATCGCACGCGCAGCATGAATCGTCAGCGTCTGGTGGCACATTCCACGGCCATGGAATCGATTACCGCCGATCTGGATGCAACGCTCGAGGAGGGCGTGGACGAGCCCAAGGGCGGCATACCAGCGCGCTCGGAGAACGACGAACGTCTGATGCTCTACATTGGCATCATCGACATCCTGCAGTCGTATCGGCTGGAGAAGAAACTGGAGCACACATTCAAAAGCATATTGTATAATGGCGATACGGTGTCCGTGTGCCGGCCCTCGTTCTATGCGAAGCGCTTCCAGGACGCGATGGCCAAGCAGGTGTTCAAGAAGACGCCCACATTTCCGCTCAAACATTCCCCATCCAAGCGCAAGACATCCGCCACCCAGCTGCGCAGCCCGCTCACCCGCACGCCCCTGGCTCCGGCCACGCCCGCCAACAGCGGAAGTGGAGCGGCACGTCCCGTTGCATTGAACATGCTGTCGGGCATGTCGACACCGCCGCCCGCCTTCGATGACATCTCCGAGGAGGACATCACCGCCGGTGCCTCGACCACAACGCTGCAGCAGCGCCAGAGTCACGGGCACATGTTGCCGCAGCCGCGCCTGCAGTCGCCCTACTCCTACGACAGTTCGATGCGCAGCAGCAGCGCCCTGACCAGCGACTACAGCGACGACGAGGAGTCCAATGCGGGTCAGGCTCGCCTCCAGCTGCAGCCGGATCAGCGCAACGGACTCGCGCTGGGCAGTACGAGCGACAATCGCGCAGCCTCGCTGCAGCGCGCTCTGCACCTGACCAAGACCACGGTGCAGGTGACCACGGTCGGTTATGTCGAACAGAAGAAGGAGCAGACGGAGCTGCAGGTGCTAGAGCTAGAGCTGGAGCCGGAGCCGGAGACGGAGCCACTCGCAAATGGCAAGCCGGGCAGCGTGTTGCATGCCACAAACAAAACAAAACAAATCCAGGCGCACAGCTACACGTCCACGCTGATGCTCAAAGCGGCGCCCGAATAGCATATACACAAATCCATATATATATATATATACTCCATATCCACACATTGGTGCTGGCTTTCACTTAAACTCCCCCCCTCCCCACCACTCGACCCAGTCGACCACCCTGTGTGCTTCGTGTGGCAGGCGCGACGCTCGTTTATCTTGATTAAACAAATACCAAAAACGAATATGTGTATTCGATATTAAAATTTATGTGGCGCGTTTGTTAATTGACTGCCCCCACACACACACGCACACACAGACACACACACACACATAGACATACACAGACATACACACACAGGTGTTACAACAGGATTCGCTCCCAGCGCATCGAAACGAGAAAAGATTTTCGCCCATTTTCTTTTTCGTTTATTAAAATTTACAATTATTTTTTCTTTTCACTTTTATTTGTGTTCTCTATATATATATTGTTTTTCCAATTTCCCTCGTATTTCTTGATGATATTATTGCGTTTGTATTATGGGGAAATATTGTTTGGAAATTCGTAGAAAATGCTTTTTGTTTAGCCGCAAATTTGACATTGTTTAACTCTGTATTTGTATTATGAAATGCGTTTAACTGTATTCTAGGATGCTTAACTGTAAATATCTATATGTTTATCAATAATAAATAAATAAAACTATTAACAAAAAAAAAGGAATTGGAGCAAGATTTGGAATAAGATTCGATATAAGCCCGAAGGCTTTCTTTCGTTCAGAAAACATTGCCAAAAAAATGTTATTTAAATAAACTTAAGTCGCAAAGTGCTCTTGAAATAAGCTCAAAGTAGATTACATTAAGTATTTTCGATACAATTTAATTTTTTACGTTTTTTTTTTTTGTAGAACTTTTTCCATTGCCAGGCTCTATGAGGAAACTAGTCTGGTAAAAATATCTCAATCAGACTTTTTCTTTTTTTTTCTTTGGCCTCATAAAAGTCGGATATTATGTGCGTAATCCCCGGTCGTAGCCGGACAATAACACTCTTCATTTATTATATTTTCACGTGCGTAAAAACTTTTTGTTTTTTTATACCCTGTACCCATTGAAAATATGTGAAACGGGTATATTCGTTATGCCCATCCATATGTCCATCCTTACGTCTATGCATCTGTCCTGCCGTCTATCTGAACTCAAGCATCTCAGAATCTATAAAAGCTGAGACTTGATATCTTGAAAGTATGTCTTTCTAATGCTCGCGCAGTTCGAGTTTCTTTTCGATAATCGATAACTTGACCATGTTTCCAAACAATCGATATCGAAATCCTCTTTTTAGTCAATCTTGACAGATCAAGTATCTTTGCTGCATTTTCGCTTGTTCAAAGAGTGTGCAGGGTATCTCCAAGTCGGGCATATTCGACTGCAGCAGCCTTTGTTTTTGCTGGCTTTTGTATCCTGAAAGTGCTTTAAGAGCGCTGACAAATATTAATCGCCCCTCCTCAGATATATTCTTCCTGCTCACTCATTTGTATTAAGCTCTCCTCCCGCTCTCCCCCTCTCCCTCTCTCTCCCCCTGCTGCTGCGTGTGCGTCTATAAATCACTTAATGATTTTCCATATTGGTATTAAGTACCGTTAATTTTTATCGCCCTGCTGCAAGCGTTGTGGCAATCGCGCCATATTTATTGCGCAAGCCGAACCTGAGCGCAACTCAGCAAAGTACCCTCCTCCCGATCCACTCCCCCCTTGAACACCGTATGCCCTGCTCGACGAGCAACGCTTAACTTGTAAAGCTCTTCATTAATTAGCCGACGAATCGTTTTTTATCGAATCGGCTTTTTGAATGAAAAAAAAAGAGTCATACCCTGAAAATCCAAATAAATTTGCTTTTGTTTTTTTTTTTTATAGAATTTCAATAAATGTTTAAAGCTCAAACAATGAAATTAATCGGCTTGCAAAACCTTTGTTAAATGCTAAACAAATATCAATGCTATTTATTCTGTGCATAACTAATGCAAACTATGATTTAATGGCATTTCATAGATTAAATAAAAACAATTGAGAGTGCTCTAGACGGGAGTGCACGACTGGGCAATACCCTGCACACACTTCCAACTAGACAGACAGACAGGGCTAGATCGACTCGACTATTGATGCTGAACAGATGCTTCCATCTGCCTGTTACATACATTTGCACAAAATCAATATACCCTCTTTAGACATTTTCAATGGGTATAGGGCCAGTGCAGATATTCAGCCAATGTTGCACTGTAAGAAAATACCATGAAAAGGCATAAAAAAAGTGTGCTTTAAGAACATGTCTGAGCGTCGGACTAGCAAGCGAGCGGTCGCCAGTTCAAATTCAGTAATAATTTGATTGCTTTAATTTGTTAGCAGACACACAAGAAATGCAACAATACCAAATGTTATTTGTTCATTTAATTTGTTGTAGAACACAAAAAGAAAGCAACAAATTGATATGTTTGGAGAGGTCGCCAGTTCAAATTCAGCAACACTTTTAATAATTAAATATGTTCATTTGGATTGTTATTAATTACAAAAACATATTTTTAATTTTTAAATATGTTTATTTAGATTGATATTAATTACAAAAATAAAGGCAACAAGAATTCATATTGGGAGAGGTCGCCAGTTCAAACTAAAAAAATTGTTTTTTTTCTTACATTCTGCATTTTTTTCAACTTGCTTGATAAAATATCTTTAGATATATTTATTTATAATTTACTGTTGATATTTTTCTTTGTTCTGTTTTGAAATATTTGTAACTTTTATTGCAAATAATGCATATTCAAAATATTATTTGAATTCGAACGAGCTGCTCGAGCAAAACATTTACTTTTATTAATTCATTTTGCTTTTCTTCATATATTGTGATTGTTTTTATTGTTTCGAGTGCATCCAGTTTGGTCATTTTATTTATGAATATTTACACAGAATACGGAATACGAAATTTGCATTAAATTTGCGCTCAAAGGTTTTACTTTGGCCAAATATTAAATGTATTTTGCTGAAATATACACTGTAAATATTTACGCAAGTGCCAAAAAAAAAAAAAGAAGAGGAAGAAGATGAGCGAAAATGTTTGCATACTTTTTGCCAGAGTCAGAAAATGCAATTTGGTGGCAATTGCCGCCAGACACAAATGTTTGTTACATTGTAATTATGCTAAAAACCGTAAAAACAATAACAAAAAAGCATTTAACCAGGCTAAAACATGCATAAATATGCTTGAACAGGCGAAAGCCGCAAACAGTAGCCAAACTATTCGAATACACTACCCAAAGAGAGAGATATTTGCTGTCAACGCGGCGAAGCCGCAAAATTATTTGCGAGTCGCATAAACCCCAAAAAATGTACAAAAACACTCGCTATGCACAAATGTGCGGGCCATAATTACTTTATTTCATTTGCATAATATAGCGTAAATGCTTTTGGCTAACATTTGCATTTGCATTTACAGCTCGGGCACAAACAGCTGCTGGCCGGGCCAAGTCCGGCCCGGCAACTGGTTTCGGTCTGGCAAAGAGTCATTTGGGCTGTAAAATCTGCATAAATACCTGGCCACAATTTGGCATCACATCAATTACTTTGAAATTATAACACAATTATATATGTACTACATTTGGACAGACTGTAGGCGGCAGCGGGGCCGGCCGAGTTGGGTATCTGTTGGTCCTGTGGTCCTTTCGCCTAATTATGTCTGCCATATGTCAAATGCCATTTTGATAACAGCAACTGTGCATTAAGCCTGTTTCTGAAACACCCCCCTCCCCACTCCTTTCACCCTCGGAAAACTCTAAACTAAAACCTTAGACAAATGTTCTGTATAGAGCTGGCTGCGTGCTTAATATATATACTAAGCACGAGCACGACATGAAGAGGTATAAAATAAACACAAAGTGTGACCAAATGCTGTTTTCTTAATAAGAAAATTGTTTTTACTACAACATACCAGACTGACTGGCTGCGTGTGTGATATATATATTAGTCGAAATTCATGTCCAAATCTTACCCCAAGATTCGTATATAGACATGGGTCAAAAATTACCACCCCATAACTCGGTCAAATCTCATCCGATTTTCACGAAGTGTGGCCTTTTCTTCATGGTTTTCCCACTAGATTAATCTGGCATTCAAATCTGAACACCGATTTTTTAGTCGAAATTCATGTCCAAATCTTACCCCAAGATTCGTATATAGACATGGGTCAAAATTTACCACCCCCATATCTCGGCCAAATCTCATCCGATTTTCACGAAGTGTGGCTTTTTCTTCATGGTTTTCCCTCTAGATTAATCTGGCATTCAAATCTGAACACCGATTTTTTAGTCGAAATTCATGTCCAAATCTTACCCCAAGATTCGTGTATATACATGGGTCAAAATTTACCACCCCCATATCTCGGCCAAATCTCATCCGATTTTCACGAAGTTTGGCTTTTTCTTCATGGTTTTCCCTCTAGATTAATGTGGCATTCAAATCTCGACACCGATGTTTTGGTCGAAATGCATGTCCAAATCTTACCCCAAGATTCGTATATAGACATGGGTCAAAATTTACCACCCCCATAACTCGGTCAAATCTCATCCGATTTCCACGAAGTTTGGCTTTTTCTTCATGGTTTTCCCTCTAGATTAATCTGGCATTCAAATCTGAACACCGATTTTTTAGTCGAAATTCATGTCCAAATCTTACCCCAAGATTCGTATATAGACATGGGTCAAAATTTACCACCCCCATAACTCGGTCAAATCTCATCCGATTTCCACGAAGTTTGGCTTTTTCTTCATGGTTTTCCCTCTAGATTAATCTGGCATTCAAATCTCGACACCGATTTTTTGGTCGAAATGCATGTCCAAATCTTACCCCAAGATTCGTATATAGACATGGGTCAAAATTTACCACCCCCATAACTCGGTCAAATCTCATCCGATTTCCACGAAGTTTGGCTTTTTCTTCATGGTTTTCCCTCTAGATTAATCTGGCATTCAAATCTGAACACCGATTTTTTAGTCGAAATTCATGTCCAAATCTTACCCCAAGATTCGTATATAGACATGGGTCAAAATTTACCACCCCCATATCTCGGCCAAATCTCATCCGATTTTCACGAAGTTTGGCTTTTTCTTCATGG